TGCAGAGCCTGGTCGTACTGCAGAGGCGGGAAGTGAACTCCACATTGCTCAGACTCCCTTGCAGCTAGAGCTCTGGGGCAGACAGACGCCCTCATGCAAGGCTGGGAAGGCAAAAGGGACATGGAGACATTTCCCTGCCACCTTGGGCTGTCTTTGCTGGCCAGCAGGTCACGGGGACTTGCTCCAGCACCTGTCCTCTAGCTCTGGACGGTGGAGCAGGGGTTGTGGTGGAGGCAGCAGCTGGACTCCGCAGTCCAGCATCCAGTGGCGGCTCTGGGGGCATTACCGGGCAGTGTGGACTGGGGCGATTTCAGAGGCCTGGACCTTGACATCAGCCGTGTGTTCTTGACCTTGGTAAGCCCAGTGGGGGTCCCGGCCCCCCACCTTCCTCACGGGCAGAGGTAGAAGCTCCCCGGGTGGGCCAGCTCCACAGGCTTCTGGGAGGATCCTTGGGGGCCCGACCTGAAGCCCCCTCTCCCAGCTCCCCCAGCAGTTTAGAGAACACCCAACCCCCGGTAAGTCCTTTTTTGCTCTAAATATCCAGAGTAGTGTCTTGCTCCTGCCCTGACTGTCAGACTCAAATGGTCAGAGCAAGAAGGAACTCATACCGGAGTCTAAGATTCTCATCACTCACAAAACTGTTCTGTTGCTCAGACAAGCCCAGCTTCCTCCCACTTCTGAAGTCTGAGGTCAGAGAGCGAAAACGGGGTGCTGAAGCTTGTAGCCCCGTGGGCAGCTCACCTGCCCACTCACACTCACCGCACCCACCATGATGGCCACACCTCTGCTCGCCCCTCCTATGAGAACGCTTGCCCATCCCACCCCCACCCCCGCTGCCCAGACAGCACTCTTCCTTCCCTTCAGCGTGGATACATGCAATCACAGTTCTACTTAGGCTGGAGGATTTTAGGGGTGCATTTCCTTTTCTTGTGCGGTCATCTTTGTTGTTCTGAAGTTGTATTAAAAAGTAAATGTACATCCTGCTCCTTTCTAAGCCCCTGTTCAAACCTCCTCCTCCAGGAAGGCTTTCTTGATTGGCCACCCAAGGTGTATTTTTGCCCTTTCTAAATTTCTGGTAGGCAGTCCCAGGCTCAGATCAATTTCCCACAGAGCTGGGAAGCAGAGGAGGTTCTTGATGGGGGCAGAACGAAACATAACAGTGGATGTCTCGATGTTTTAGAGGGAAGTGCCAGGGCTCTGCGTGTGAGCAGGTCCGAGGTTCAAGCACAGGGAGGCAGGTCAGTCAATTTCGTGCTGGTGGTCCCCAGCAAGCTGGCATGGGAAGGTACTGCCGGCCCTCACATCCTGTGATCCCAGGAGCCCACTGCGCTTCTCTGAGCCTTGAAACAAAGCCACTACGTTAGGCCTGCACCAAGGAGGGCTGTCCAGGATCCACATAAGGTCCTCAGAGCACCCCGAATTATAATGACACCACAAGGGAGGGGACTGAGAGTAGGGACAGGGCAGTCTTGTGGGGGTGGTTTGTTTGCTAGAGGAAGGGGCAGGCATCTGGGAGGAAAAGAGAGGAGGGCATTGGTTTTGTGCAGATCTGCTAGTCCTGGGGGCGAATATTTACTCCCACCCCGCCAACTCTGGGGCTGGCACGTGACTCGCTGTGGCCAATGGCATGTGCGGGGATGCAACATATTTCCAGGTCAAAGCGGACATGCCACAGCTGCCTGTGTGGCTTCCTCTGCCCCCCGGAGCCTCCGCCCTCCATCACGGGAATAGCATGTTCCCAGTAACACATGGTTCCAGAATAGGAGACATGTGGAGACCTGAACCCTACCAGGAGCCAGGAGACACGTCTGGCCAATCTCAGCAGAGCCCCAGCCAACTCACAGACCAGGAACAAGAAATAATGTTGTCACTGTGAGCCACTGAGGGCTGGGGCTGTGTGTTACTCAGCACTATAGCAGCAGACGCCTGCCTACTACACCGGGTCTGCTGGAATCAAAAGCCAGTGTCGTTCCACCACCTCATCCTGCTCCTCGCCAGTTAGAGAGCTTTGAAAACAATAAAGCCCTAAAAAACTAAAGGCCTCCCGTCATTGTTATTAATTTCCTCAAATTCCTCATTCCTGTTACAACCACAACTAAGCCTTTTCTCTCTTCTTTTTCTTTCCCAATAGTCACAGAAGAGAACCAAGGAAAATAACTGAGATTTCAGCTCCATTAATTTTTCAGGGCACCATAAATTAAAGAGCAATTGCAATGTAGTCAATTTCTGCAGGAAAATAAGTCTCTGTGATTGTGCTTTAGTCTAATTACATGGAAGGCTAAGTAGTGCTATTAATACCCAGAAGCACATGCTGTCCCAAAGGAAGGCGCCGGGAGCTGAGAGGCAGCCCATGAGGCCAGGGAATTGCAGGGACATCCTCAGTCAGTGCGGACCAGACCTTGGCAGTGACTTGCTTTGGCCAGTGGTGTGTGTGCGGATGTGATGTATTCCAGTCAGAGTGGACAGGCTGAAGTGAGGACCAGCAAGGAGGTCAGGTGCTATAGAGACCCCTGGCTCAGGCCAGCCAGGAGTCTCCATTTGGAACTCCCTCATCTGGGTGATCCCTATTGGTAGAAATTCATTATTCATTCATTCACTCATTCATTCACCCAACTGCCATCAGTCCATCTCCAGCACCCATCCACCTCCCACCCATGCATCCATTCATTCATCCATGCATCCATCCATCCACCCATCTATCCATCCATCATCCATCCATCCAACCATCCTCAATTCATGCATCCAACAAATATTTCCAGCCAGGAACTTGAGATAAAATGGTGAAAAATACAGGCATAGACCCTGCCCTTAAGGAGCTTACCACAAGTATGTGTGTAGGGTACAGATAATAATCAAATAATAGCACAAATATATAATTACACATTGTGATCAGTCTTGTAAAAGAAAGGCACTAGAATCTGGAGGCGTGTGGAACAGTGGGGCCCAAACAGGCCAGGGGTGGCAGAGGAAGGCTCCTGATCTGGTCAGCTTACACCTGCCTCTAGACCCACGCTCTGCCCTATTCCACCCTTCTCTGCCCTGGGGGCTGGCCCGTGTAGACGGCATCCACAGGCTCCTTCTCTCTGGCTTCTGACTGGATTTGGCCCACGGAGGCACCAGCAGAAGACCGGAGGGCAGTCCTGTTCTCCCACTGACCAACCACAGCTGGGCAGGGGCTGAGTCACACCGTTCAGGGCCAGGCCTCCTCCTGGGCCCTTTCCTACGACTATGGGGGCCATGCCTCCTACTGGGCAAGGTGGTGGGCTGAAAAATGGCCCCCCAATATATATCCACGTCCTAATCCTGGGAACCTGTGAATGTGACTTTATGGAGCAAAAAAGGACTTTGCAGATATGATTCACTGAAGATCTTTAGATGGGAAAATTACCCTGGATTATCTGGGTGGGGCAGAGGGAGATTTCAGACCCACACCCACACACGCACACCCACACCCTCCCCCACATACCCCCCCCCCCCCCCCCCCCCCCCCCCCCCCCCCCCCCCCCCCCCCCCCCCCCCCCCCCCCCCCCCCCCCCCCCCCCCCCCCCCCCCCCCATGCACACACACACGACTGTGTGAAGACGGAGCAGAGACAGTTGAAGACGCTGCCTCTGAAGACTGGGGTGATTCATTCACCAGCCGCAGAATGCCAGAAGCCGGGACAGGCGAGGAGCGGACCTCCCCAGCGCCTCCAGAGGCAGCGCGGCCCGGTAACTTCCTTGATTTTGGCTCAGTGAAACTGACTTTGGACTTCTGGTCTCCAAAACCGTGAGAGAATAAATTTCTGTTGTTCTAAGCTATCAGGTCTGTCGTCATTTGTTTCAGTGGCTGCAGGAACCAAATACAGGCCTTTCCCACAGCTACTGTGGCCGCGTCTCCTTCTGGGCCCTTTCCTGCCCCTCGGGCACTCTCCCTCCTCAGCTCTCAGGACCTGGGGTGGGGCCGGCTCCCTGCCCATGCCAGCCCCGGCGTCTCTCCTACCCCACGCTGGCCCTGGACAGAGCCCTCCATTACTACACTCTCCTCCTTCCCCCATGAAGGTGCCCTCGGGTTCCTGTGGGGGCCCTGGTGGACACAGCCCCTGCAGGAGGGGACCTGATTTGGGGTCTGAAGGACGATTCACTCCTCTTGGTGAAGGGGAAGAGCACTCCAGGCTGAGGGAAAGGACTGGTAAGGCCTGGCGTGAGAGGGGGTGTGGAATGTTCCAGAAGTGGAAGAAGGCTTGTGTGGCTGGTGTTTGGAGTGGGGAGGCAGAGAGGAACAATCATAATAGTTATCTACTATCTGTTGATCTCGTCTCAAGGGCCTGTTCGTGCACGTGCACCTCTCACCTCTGTCCCACTCAGTTCTCACACAACGTGGCAAAGCCAGTGTGCTCCCGATGACTGGCTCTCGACCATGCAGGCCTCAGGGAGAAGGCAATTGCGGTGTCCAGCGCCCCCAGCCCCAGAGGGGTTCCTCCCAGCCAGCTGAGGGCTTCCGGGGCTTTGAGAAGGTGTCATTTCTTTGTGACGTCATTCAAAAGAGCAGCTGCCAGCCCCCCAGATCCAGAGACTGACCCAACAGATCCAGACCCTAGCCCCACAGGCCCAAACCCCAGCCCCACAGACCCTGACCCCACAGGCCCAGACCCCAGCCCCACAGGCCCAGACCCTGGCCCCACAGACCCCGACACCACAGGCCCAGACCCAGGCCCCACAGGCCCAAGCTGCAGCCCCACAGGCCCGGACCCCACAGACCCAGACCCTGGCCCCACAGGCCCAAGCTGCAGACCCACAGGCCCGGACCCCACAGACCCGGACCCCAACTCCACAGGCCCAGGCTGCAGCCCCACAGGCCCGGACCCCACAGACCCGGACCCCAGCCCCACAGGCCCGGACCCCGACTCCACAGGCCCAGGCTGCAGCCCCACAGTCCCCGACGCCACAGACCCAGACCCCAGACCCCGCAGGCCCGGACCCCAGACCCGCAGGCGCAGACGCGGCCCAAGGCCTGCTCACCTCGCTCTCCTTGCTATAGGCCAGGACCTTGTCCTCCTCCTCAGGGTGGAAAGTCAGTGTTTCCACAGAGAAGGGGATGAGCTGCTTCTGGAAGGTGGCGCCCTCGTCTGTGCTGAGGAACAGGCTCCGGTCCCGGTCGCTGAGCGAGGAGCTCACCAGGATGATCTGAAACACAGAAGCCGGGGGCACATGAGGCCTCCCCCTCTGCACACCAGGGAGGGCACAGCAGGAACCGCTGGGCCACCCCATGCCTGCCGAAGGCTCAGCGGCAAGCAGGGTCATTCATTCATTCATTCATTCACTCATTCCACAGATATCCACGAGTGCCCGGCACCCATGACTCTGAGGCTCCAGCAGTGAATCGGGGTTCAAGGTCTCTGTGTGAATGAGGGTACGTCAGTAGGGCACACGAGACAAGTCAGCAGTCAACAACTGTGTCCACAGCATTCTTTCAGAGACAATGACCGGAGCCCCAAGGTAGGAAAGCAGGACTACGGGGTGGGTGGGGTGGGGCTGCCTTCAGAAGGAGAGCGCTGAGCCGGGTGGGGTATGACGGGGGACATCTTGCCCCGGGGTGGGGAACTCGGAGGGAGTAGCCAAGGGGAAGATGGGGCTGGAGAAGTAGCAGAGGGTCAGGTTCTGTGAGGCCTTATAGGGCATTGTAGTGGGTTGAATGGTGTCGCCCCAAAAGATATGTCCACATCCTGATCCCTGGTCCCTGTGAACGTGACCTCACGTGGAAACAGGGTCTTTGCAGACGTAATTAAGTCCACGATCTCAGGATGTGATCATCCTGGATTTAGGGTGGGCCTACGTCCAATGACTGGTGTCCTTATCAGAGGAGGGGAAGACACAGACACAGAGAAGGCGATAAGCATGCAGAGACAGACGTGGGGGTGATACGTCGATAAGGCAAGGAGCGTGGAGGATTGCTGGAGCCCCCAGCAGCCGGGAGAGGGCACCCGCCCTGCCGACACCCCGACTTTGGACTTGCAGCCTCCAGAACTGTGAGGGAATAAATTTCTGCTGTTTTAAGTGATCTAGTTTGTGGTCCTTTGACACTCACACGGACCTGGCGAGAGCTCTGCACAATGGGGACCTTCTTGTTGAGGGCCATGGTGGCCTTTGGGGATGCTGGAGGAGGGGGTGTGAGCTGACATCTTTTCACAGTACCCATCCTCTTGGCCATTAGGGGGCCTGCGCAGGAGCAGGGGCCACTCAGGAGGCTGCTGCCCATCTGGCTGGAGGCTTGGGTGGTTTGGTCAGATCTGGGACATCCTCGACTCTCTGTCCGCCGTTACACACCAAACATCCCCGGAGTGCATCAGAGATGCCTGGAGACGCAGACAGTCAAGAGAGGCCCCGGGCTCCGTTCTGTTCTGAAATTGGCAGACCGCGCACGGCGGAGAAGACGAGGGACGGCTCTGCCACCCCATCGCCACGCACATCCGTTTCGCAAAAGGCCCCTTGGGAGTCGCGCAGGGCCTGCTTGGCCCGCCGGGAGAGTCAGGAAGCTCCTGCGGGCCCGGGCAGCACTGTGGCCCCATCATGCTCAGGAAGTTGGCCTGCACTCCTTCTGGACCTGCCTTCACCCGGTTTCCTGTTCACGGCGGAGCGCACACGGGGACAAGCCCTGCTGGGCTGGGGCTTCTCGCCATCCTACAGAAAGGTCAGGAAAGGCGAGCCCAGGGTCAGAGCAGGGCGGCCCTGCTGCCACACAGCAGAATGACAGGGACCCTCAGAGGTGGAGAGAAGGGGCGTGCGAAAGGGCTCCCCCTTCCCTTGTGGCCAGAGAGGGCAGGCCAGCCTGGATGGATGAGAGAGGGATAGGGAGCATCCGCATCCGGGTCGCGATGGACCCTGAGCCACGTGGTTCACCCCCGGGCAGCGCGGGTGGCCCCTCGGCTGGCTGAGCTCCAGACTCCCACCTCCAACCTCATCGGAAGGGCCATTCCCCACACAGGGAGCTGGGGTGGCTTTCCGACACACACACCTGGAGGAAGCTCCAGGGCTCCTCACAGCCCCAAGGAGACTCTGACCTCCGTGGCAGGTCCCTAGGCCCTTCCTGGGCTGGCCTCCCGCCCTACCTCCGGCTTGCGCCCCGGCCACGGCTGGTGTGGTCCACACCACGTGCAGCCTCTCCCCCACCTGTGCCCTCCGGTCCATCTCAGCCTCATGCCCTCAGGTGGGCCTCCCTCACCCCTGGGCCGGGGGTCGTCTCTGCTTCAAGGCTGCACGAGGGGTCTTGTGCCATGAGACCCCTTGTGCAGGGGACCCGGACTTGCCCATCACACACCTACCACATTTCATGGAGGTGGTCTCTTCCCCAGGGACTGTGGCCCTCTTGGGCCAGGGGCCACGTGTGTGGAGTTCGCTGCTGTCCCCCCTCGCCACCTCCATCTCTGCAGGGCCTGGGCGCTCCACACATTTGTTGAATGAGGGAATGAGGGAATGAATGAATGAACAGACACTATGTGCTAGTAGACCAGGGGGCTAGGGGCACACAGTCGGTCTCCCAGATAACCTAGTTCAAATTCCGTGTCTGTGTGAGCTCAGACAAGCCTACTTACCATTCTGTGCCTCAGTTTCCCTGTCTGTAAAATGGGGACAATAACATAGAGCCTGGTACCGAGGGAACTTGCAATGGAAGTGTAATATGAGTGTGAACAGGTTGTCCGCCTTAGAACTCTATGAGGCAGTTCTCCTTGTGCCATTATTACCTCTGCTTGACAGTGGGGAAACTGAGGCACGGAGAGGGGAGACAAACTGCTGAGGTCACATGCCATGCAGGATGGAGCCAGGGTCTGGATCCGGGGGTGACTCCAGAGCGCCACTCTTAGCCATGCACTCCAGGGTGACCCACGCAGGACGGGGCGTTGGAGCTGGGCCCGGAGCTGGCGTGGCGGGGGTGGGACTGGCTTGGCTGAAGATGAGCCCAGCTTTCTCGGGGGAGGGCGTGGGGCCATGAGACCCCGTGTGCATGGACGTCCCACCACGATGGCCTCCCAAACCCCGACATTCCTCTAGAAGACAGTTAAGCACAAGGAGCATAAACCAATAAACTGCACTAATCTCCTGTCTTACGTGGGCAAACGATAACCCGGGAGCTTCTTTCTCTCCACGGAGACCTTGATGAGCTCCCCGGGTGTGTTAACTAGTCTCCTCTAGCACAAAACCCTTCTCTCCCCAGCAAAGCGAGCGTCTGAAGGAGACCAACATGGCATTCATGCAGCCAGAGTCCTCGGTGACTTTGCTCCTTGAAAGGCGGACAGAGATATGCTCGGAGATGTTCCTCATGGTGTGGTTTATATGAGGAAAAATGGGAGGGAACTGAAGAATGGTTAGGGGCTAAAAATGTTTATAGAGAACATTTAATGACAAGGGAGCTTATGTGCTCGTGAAATAAGGCAGAATGCAAAATTATATGCAAGTATAATTTCTGTGCATTTCACATTGACGAGTATATTATAAAAAGGAAGTCTATTATAATTTTGCCAATGGGAAGTGTATGAAAGTAAGTAAGTGTAATTTTGTCAGTGGAAAATGTGTAGAAATAAGAATGGAAGGATTATTATTCAGCCATAAAAAAAGAATGAAATCCTGCCATTTGCAACAACACAGATGGAACTTATGGGCATTATGCTAAGTGAAATAAGTCAGACAGAAAGACAAATGCTGTATGATCTCACTTACATGTGGAATCTAAAAGAGAGGAAAAAAAAAACTGAGCTCGTAGATACTGAGAACAGATTGGGTGGGGGGTGGAGGGTGGGCAAAATGGGTGAAGGTTGTCAAAAAGTACAAACGTCCAGTTATAAAATAAATAAGTCCTGGGATGTCATGTACAGCATGGTGACTACTGTTAATAGTACCGTATTGTATATGTGAAACTTGCTAAGAGAGTAAATTCCAAAAGTTCTTATCACAAGAACAAAATATTTGTAACTATGTGTGGTGACAGATGTTCACTAGACTTATTGGGTGATCATTTCACAATATACACAAATATTAAATCATTATGTTGTGCAACTGAAACTAATATAATGTTATATGTCAATTATACCTCAATAAAAAAGGAGAACGGAAGGAAACCCAGGAGGACGTTAATTGCGGTTGGTTTTAAGTGATGGGGTTAGAATAAACATTTTTTTATTTTAAATAAACCTTCTATTGTAGAATAGTTTTAGATTTTCAGAAAGGTTGCAGAGAGCGCCACACATCATACACCGTCTCCTCTGTGACTAACGTCTTACACGAGCATCGTCCATTTGTCACAACCAAGGAACCAACGTGGGCTCATTGGTATCATCTAAACTCCACACTTTGTTCGGATTTCACAGTTTTTCCACTACTGTCCTTTTTCTGTCCCTGGTTCCCATCCAGCACCCCACGTGACATTCAGTTGTCACGTGTCCTTAGGCTCCTCCGGGCTGGGACGGTTTCTCAGACTCTCCCTGGTTTTCACGACCCTGGCAGTTTTGAGGACCAGTCAGGTACTTTGTAGGTTGCCTCTCCATTTCGGTTTGTCTGATGGTTTTCTCACATGATACTGGGGCTGGTTATGGTTTTCGGGAGGCAGAGCACAGTGGTGAAGTGCCATCCTCATCGCAGCATACCCGGGGACACGACCTGTCACTGCTGATGCCACTCTTGCTAGCCGGTTCGTGCTGCCCAGGATTCTCCACTGTAATGTTCCTTCTTTTCTCCTGGCTTCCATCTGTCCCTTTGGGAGGAAGTCACAGCGCACAGCCCACCTCTGGGGAGTAGGGAGGGCTGCTCCCCTCCTGGAGGGTGGACTGTCCACCTACATTATGTGGAATTCTTCCACACAGGAGATTTGTCTCTTCTTCCTCAGTTATTTACTTGTTCAATCATTTATTTACAGCACTATGAACTCATGAATATTCATTTTATGCTTTGAATTGTAATTCAATACCATTTTGCTATTTTGTGCCCAAATTGCTCCAGCTCTGACTATGGAAAGCTCTTTTTGGCTCCTGTATCTCCTTGACATAAGCGCACCGTCCTTCTACTCCTAAATGTTCTACACTGCACCTGGCTTCCTCTGATAATCAGGAAAAACGCAACAGGGCACCAAGATTTCTTCCACATCTCACTGGACACAGCACTGTTCACTCAATGTCCACTCACCACTGCGGGGCCAG